ATGTGATAATAAGAGAGGAATCACACATTCTACAATAAGACTTAAAGAACGGATCAGGTGAAGAAGAGCGGCGCGTTAGAATATTCTGGCATGTATAGGGATTCAATATTTTTATTTAATCCTCGGATTAAATTAGATAATATTAGTCGGGGAGGGTGAGAGGGAGGGGAGGGGGGATACGAGGGGGAACTGTGGAGAGAATCTGAGGGGATGAGTAAGGAAGACGTTGGGATGAGGCAGAGCGTTGTGTCAAGACAGACAGGGAGAGAGAGCAAGAGATGAGTAAGGACAGAAACGTTAGGCAGAGAGAGTGAGTTGATGGAGGAGGATGAAGGTAGAGTAGCCAGAGAGAGAAGGAAGACGTAGGTAATACGGCACGCGAGAAAGATATCAACCTGACACTATCGGACTTATTGGGACGACATGCCATAAGGTACATTTCCGAGGCGTTGCTCTCCAGATGGTTAAGTGATTGTGATAGGTGAGTCAGAGAGTAATGGTAAGAAGATGGAGGTGGAGAAAGGGAGAGAGACAAGGAAAGGGGGAGAGAGGTGGTACGATGAAAGAAAAGTGACGATGTACAGAGAGAGAGATTTTTAGCATTCAGCTTACCCACTTTTGTAATGCTAAAATCAGACCACAAGGTAAACTTAAAACCTGAGAAATGGAATCAGGTGATTGAAGCCAATCTATATTGTTTTACGTGAATGACCTACCACTTGTACAAATCCGGTGCCAAATAAGGGTCACTTCTATAAATAAGACTTATACACGCATTATTAAATCATAATATAATAAAAGATAAGAACTATAATATACAATTAATGATTAATAATACTATTTTATCTACTATAACGAATTTTGAGGAATTGTGCCTAATGCGCTGGTTTTATTACACAATAGTTATATATATATAATCACTCAATTCTACTTAAAGATTATAAAAGGTATTTCATTTCATACATTATATTAAGTCAATTTTGTCAATCAAATATTCATACTGAACATCATAATTACTTTTGATGTCATAAAATAATTCACATAATATGTTATCGCATCATGATTATATCATTCCTTATCGATTTGCTACCATGAATTATCTCACCTTTATTCTGTGAGCTCGAATTGTTGATAGCCAGTACTATTGTATTAATTCTATTTATCATATAATAACTTATACTATAAATTAAACTTAATAATTTTTAAATTCAAACCTTATATCTATTGTTTTTTTATTCAAATGATTTTTTATTTATTTCTCTTATCTATACATATATTATCTATGACCGTTACAATTTTATTATCAATATTATCATGGCATTGAATTCTACAGTAAATATAAACTAGGATGTATTTAAATATTATTTCCCATGTAAATTTATAATTGTGATGATGGGAGGTGGTGAATATTAGTATGATACGTTAACTTGTTTGGTTCACTACACGATTCTTATAGCAGCGGGTTTTCCATTCATTATTCGGTTCTGTAACTAGAAGATTAGGAGACGGAAAGAGGACAGGCAGAGAAGAGGAGGAGAGCTATCCGAGGAGGAGGAAGACGAAGAGGAATGAAGGAACGCGAAGAGGAGAAGAGATGAAGAAGGAAAACGATGAGAAAAAGAAGAAGAAGAAGAAGAGAGGAGAAGAAGAATAGAAGAAGAAGAAGGAGAAGGAAGGAAAGGAGAAGGAGTGGTTGGAGGGGAGGAGGACAGTAAAAAAGCCAGGAATTTGAGGAAGGTAGGCTGGAAGGAGAGGAGCAGGAGCGTACATAGGAAGAAACCAAGCGAGGAGGAAGAGGAAGAAAGGAAGTGAAAGGGAGGAAGTGAGGTAAGGAACAGTAAGTAAGTTGGAAAGCCATGAGATGAATGCTAAAGAATAGAGTTGAATAAAGATTAGAGAAAAGAGACGAGAATGACCATGAAGAAAAAAAGCGACATAACAATCAATAACGTACAGTAAATAATCGTTATAGAGGATTAAAATGTTAAAAGAGAATAAGAATGAAGACAGAAGAAGAGGAGGAGGAGGAGGAGGAAGAGGCCAGAAGAGGAGGAGGAAGGAAGGAAGAAGATGAACAGAAGAGGAGGTAACACACACCCTCCACAAAGAAGACGGAAAGAGGCACACTGAAGAGGTAGGAGGAGGAGAAGGCTTATGCAAAAGAGAATGCACAGGGAGAAGGCAAGAGGCAGAACAGAGGAAGGACCGAAGAAGGCAGGACAAAGAACAGAACGCGAGGTGACGAAATGAATCAGAAGAGGTCTCAAGATAAGAGTATGGAAGCAGAAAATGAGAAATGAGTAAGAGACTGAAATATAATAGAGTCAGAAGAGTTGAGGAACGGACGTAAAAGAGGCAGAATAAGGAGTGAGGAAGTAATGAAATGAACCAATATAAGGAAGTATAAGAGGTCAGGGATGGTAATGAAGGCAGAAGTAGAGTAAGGATGAGAGGAGGAGACGAATGAGAAGGCAGAAGATAATAGTGAAGGACGAAGAGTTGCAGATAGAATGTGTATGGAGGAGTAAGGTAGGAAGAGGCTAGATAAGAGTTGTAATTGGATAGTAAGTATGCATAATAACTATAGAATGTAATGATTATTAAAAGTGAGTAAAGGACAGAGGGGCAAGAATAGAGGAATAGGAGTATGAAGGAAGAGGCAGAAGATGAAAGGACGATAGAGTTTAAGATAGAGGAAGGAGGTAGAGAGTAGGGTGAATGAAGGCAGATAAGAGGAG